CCTTCTATTTCGCCTGCCACTGACAGATTGCAGAACTGAGTCAGTTTCTTTTTCTTTCTTTTTGTCTTTTTTCTTTTTTTTTTTTTTGGGCAAGGCAACCCTTGGTTGACCCTCAGATTGCAAGGACTTTGTCAGCTTACAATTACTTACTTTTTTTTATTTTTTATGCCTACAGCACCTGGTCTTCCTAGGTGGTCTCCCATCCAAGTACTAACCAGGCCCAACCCTGCTTAGCTTACGAGATCAGACAGGATCCAGCTTGTTCAGGGTAGCATGGCTGTAGACTCAGTTTCTGTATAATATTCTCCATTTATAATTCGTCTGTTTACTTTTTAGTGATGTCATGTAATTTGTTCCTTTATCTCCTATGCTTCTAATAAATAGAAGGTAGTTCTAGCGGTTTGATGTCATTTACGTTCAATGTGTTTGGTAAGAACACTTCATAAATGGTGCTGTGTATTTCATAAGCATCATAGAGCCTGATTTTTTCACTTCTGGTCATACTAAGATTGGTAAAGATATAACAGTCTGATCTCTGGATAATTTCATTTCAAGTCTTCCTCTAATGGCTCTATTGCATGGAACAAATATTTCAGTAGCTATCACAAAATGGTCATTTTCTAGTTACTCATTTTTTACTTTAATGAAATTCATTCCTTTGATAATTTTTTAAACAAAAGAAATATACTTTGTTTTATTTACAAAAAGCATTTTATGAAACAGAATATGTACAGAGTTATCCCATTTCTGTTTTCAATCATATCAATTAAGAAAGGGAAGATATTTATTCAGTTTTATTTGCTGATTTGATAACTCATTGCTTTGATTTATTAGAGAACTTAAACATCTTTTCACATGTATATTAGCTATTCTGTACATGTTTTGTGAATTGTTCATGACCTTGCCTGAGTTTTCTATTGTTTTCTTTTGCTTATTCATTTTTGACAGTTCATAGATCATAGATATTAATCTTTTACCTATTTTACTTATTATAAAAATTTTTTCCAGTTTATAATTGTCTTCTGTATAGAAGCTTTTGATTTATGTAGTCAGTTTTTATCTTTTATGGCTTTTGGTTTCTGGTTGTACTTAGACTTTCTATACCTTGAGTTAATGTAGTGGGAGAGTTTGGTTTTTTCCTGGTAATTTTTTCCTGGTGTAAGAAATGTCAAATTTATTTTACGCATTTAAATAATCAATTGTCCTAAAGCAGTTTGTCTTTTGCCCACTGCATTGAACTGAGATGCCACAGTTTTATATTAAATTCACAAATTTACATAGTCTCCTTCAACTCCCTGTGGTCCATTGATGTTATCACATTACCAAATATTTTTAATTACAATAGCTTTTGTAATATGTTTTAAGATCTAGGTGACTATCATCTTTTTTTTTTTTTTCAAGTTTTACCGAGTTTTCCCACACACATACTCTCATTTGAACTTTAGAATTAGCTCGTGATTGGGGTTGAAATCAAGTGGTATTAAGTTTTGTGGGACTGACATTAAAACAATGGTTTTTCCATTTGGGTGTGTTGTTTTCTCTATTCAAATCCTTTAAGTTTTCAGCTAAAATACTTTCTACACCTTTCCTAATAAGATTATTTTTAGGCATTTTATATGTTTAGTTTGGTTATTTTATGTTTGGTCACAAAATACCTTATTTGTGATCATTGGATTGTGAATATAGAATCATTTATTTTTGCTCAAATATACCAGTCATACTTCAAAATAAGTATAAATAAAATTGGAACGTATATACTTAAGTGTTTAAATTTTTAAAATAAACTTCAGGTATTTCTATCACTTACCTGTTCATTTGTGCAATAAGTTAGAAATAGTTTAGTTAAAGAATACAAATGATTGGGAAATGATCAATTTATATTTAATGGTTTATAAAGGATTGGCGTAATAAAGTAGTAGTTAAGGTAATAAATTGCAGTTAAAAATATAAACCCTGTAATGAGATTTTCTTTTTGTATTCATTCTAGTTGGATCCTAGCTAGTGTGGCCTTTTATTAGGAATAATTCTCCCTCAGTGCCATTTTTGATTCAAAGGCCTATTAAAACTATATTCTTTTAACTTGCTGTCTTAAAAATCATAAAGGAAGAATACTTGGCTTTGTTATTTGCTTACATTTTGTTTATGGATATTATAAATAGGACTACTGTATTCTGACAGATTAGACATCACTGTTAATTTTTTTTCTTTCTCATATTGCAGGTTTTGCAAAAGGCATCAAATTAAATCAAGTTCAAATATTCCCTGTGTTCCCAAAGACTTACTGATGATGTCTGAATTTGTTCTTCCAAGATTTATTTTTTGTCTCATTCAGTACTTACGAGAAGGCTATAGTGAACCAGGTATGTTTAATCTACTCTTTGTTAGTACTCTTTTCAAGTTCCCGATTAACAAAGTTTAGCATTAATAACGAGTTGTTTTTTTCAGATTTTTTCTGCTTAACAGTTTTTATTTATGACTATGAAATACTAAATAAAAACATTAAATATTAATTATATAAGCTCATAGATGCCTTGTAGTTGACTCAGTCACTCTGTGCTCCTGGGAGCAAAGATGTTTTTGATCAAACTTACTTGGCCTTTTGCTTATGAACAAATAATCATTTTATAGGGTTAAAGTGACTTTATATGTAATTATGATAGAGCACAATTAAGAAGTCCTGGAAATGTTTGAATCTATCTTAGATTTTTAGAAAATTAAACTACTATTTCACCAATATTTTTCTCTTTCTCTCTTCCCCTTTTTTGATAGAAGACTATATGTTTTTGTTCCCCTCCATATATAACAACTTATGAGAGAGAGTCAATTGGTTTACTCCTGTGTTACTGGTAGAACATATGCTAGTGTTAAAAAGAGAAAAACATGCAAATTTCTTACTTTTTAAGATTTATTCACAATCCTGATTAATATACTTTAGCTAAATATTTGGATTTAGGTATCATCTATTAAAGTTCTCAGTCTGACATTGTGGATTATGGATATCAGTTAATGGTATAAAACAAATTTATTAACTTTTTGTAATTTTGTTTACCTTTCTAATGACACTTGCATTTTTATCATATAAAGGACTACATTTTCCATTACTTTGGAAGTTTTAATTTATTTAATACTGTAAATAATCTTACATCCAATTTGAAACTATGGCATACATCTTTATCTTTGTCTATCCCTCCCCCATCCTTAAAGTGTGAAGAAATATTATATAGCATCTTCATTACACCTAAAGCAATCATGTTACCTTTGTTGTGAGCAAATACTTTCTACATTTTTAGTAAAGTATGCAATCCTTTAAGTACTTGTACTCCTCTCAGAGTATGTGACTTAAAACATAGAAAGAAATATTTTCATTTAGTCCCGGACTACTCTGGCATGAAGGAACCAGAGACCAGCTGGATTATTGAACTTGTCTTCTGTATGATTTCTCATACACTAGTTTACAGACTTTTGGGGAATTTACATTTTGTATTTAAAGTGTCTTATTTTAGAAAAGTAATAGGTAGAAATTATTTATTGTCAGAATCTTAAAACTTAACCATTAGTTTAATCACAGATTAATTTGTACAAAAGTGTATTATATTAATTTTTTCCTATGGCAACATTTAGCAGTTATAAAAGGTAGATGATATAGATACATAGCTTTGATAATTATGTGTTACCATTATCTGAAAACATAAAGGAATGAATGGAAGCACTTTTTGTTTTAAGATGAGCTTCATGAACTTCGAGTCACAAAATTTTATTCTTTATATAACCACTTGTGCTCAGCATTCATTTCTTCTGTGCAAAAAAAGAAAAAAAAGATTTGAAAATTAAAGAAAGGACTGGAAAATTTTCAATTTGTGGTAATGGAAGTTCAGAGATTACATGGTTTTACAGTTTACTTGCGTTCCATTTCAATCAAACATACTTGGCCTTTTGCGTATCAATAATCATTTTATGGGGTTAAAGTGACTTTATATGCAATTCTATTATGATAGAGTGCAATCTGGAATTTCATCCACAGATTATCATTGTACTAGGTTGTGAGATCCTTGGTGTAGGAACTATGTCTTATTTAGTTTTGCTTCTCAGTGCCTTTCATGGAGTAGATGCTGAATAAATGTTGAATGAAATTGATGTCTTCTTTTCTGGGCACACAGGTCTCTTATATGCATTCTTCTTTTACCAGTTATAGTTAGCTCTAAATCTCTCCATTTACTTTTTCCTTTCAGACCTCAGTTTCTTTAAAACATCTCTTTATTTTTCTCTTAAATATTCTTTTTCAGTTGCTATTCAAGTTTTTTTCTTCTCCCTCTATCTCTACTAGGCACACATTGCCTGGTATTTTAAAATTATTTTAGTAAAAGCACTCATGTTTATGAAAACAGTTATTTTTCATATTAGTTGCTTTGACCTCCAGCTAACATGAGTCTGTATTTTTGGAATATGATAGAGGATGTGTTATTTGCTCCACAGGTTTAAATTTAGAGCTGACATAATTTTGTCCTAATATTTTCATAGTACTCTCAATATATTTTATTTCTGTCTTGTTTTATTTTAGGGAATTATCTTTACTTTTTCTGAAATACTATCTAATTTTGAAATGATCTTATGATTACATTTATATATCTGGAAATATAGGGCCCTCAAATCGAAATCTTTTTACACAAATTAAATGCTTAATACTTTATGAAGTTATGTCTTTTCTGCATCAACCCTTTCTTAGAGGACTGAATTCCTGAGCAGGTCTACTCACCCTAGGCTGAGTGCTGGGTGGATACCTACTTTCTAAATAGAGTTCTTATATTAACTTTTTTGATTATAAAATACTGTCATCTAATTCATTATAATTTAAAAGAATAAAATATTGTTATTATCGAAATATTTTAAATAAAGTTAATTATATGTCTTTTTAGCAGCAGATGTACCATCAGAAAAAGACCTTAACAAAGTCCTTCAGCTTTTGGAACCTCAAATTTCCTTTTTAGAAGATCTAACTAAAATGGGAGGAGCAATGCGGTCTGTTCTTACTCAGGTTTTGACAAACCAACAAAACTATAAAGATCTGACTTCTGGTGAGTTAAATGTTAAAAGAACATTAACATTTACTTATATTACTATAATTATTAAGTATTTTAGAACTTAAAAGTAAAATGTAGATTTTTTTCATAGACTGCTAAAGCTGGAAGTTATTAAGAATACCTCTTTTATGGGTGAAGAAGCTGAACTCCAGAAAAATTAAGTGACTGGTTCAAGACCTTACAACTAACTTATTTTGAAGTTGGGACTAGAACCCAGGTCTTCTAACTTTTGGTGTGACATATTCATAATTATACTCTACCTCCCCTTCTCCAAACAATAATAACAACCACTCTATGTCTTTATTTTTGGTATTCTAAACTTTTGGGTTATATGGCTGAGGATTTTATAATAACATTGAATTCAAGTTATAAAATTTGGAATTGTTGAATATGCTTTTATATAGCATGCTATATTGTTATATAAAACACTTTAGTTTTTATACTTTTTAGCTCAAATTTATAGTATAATAAATATATCAATTATTTTAAAATCTTGTAAATATTTTAAATGGCTTTTTTTTTGCTGGCTCATGAATAGCATATTTTGAAAATTGAAGTTTGTTTTGTTTCTTTAGAGCGGTGAACATTTTCATGTGTATTGTTAGTTATTTAGAGATAGTCTTGATATATTTATTTCTTCAGCTAATACCTATTAAATATCCACTGTGTGTTTGGCTTTGGGCTAGGTATTAGAGCTTGGGGTGGAAAAGGTAATAACTAAACTAGGTAATCTTGTTCCTACCCTTATAAAGCTTATGGTCTAGTGAGTGAGATAACATTAAAAAACCCAGACCAAAAAATTGTGTAATTATAAACTGTAGTAAATGCTATGAGAGAATAGGAAGTTTTTATAAAAACGGAGTCCTGATTTCACAGAGATGAGGGGAGTTGGGGTGGTAGTGAGTTAGAGTCCAGGTAGAGGACATCTTCTGCTTTTGACTATTGGACTAGCTCTTATACCATAAACAACATAAAACTGGAAAAAATGTGAGGCACCGAGGTTCGGCATTCGACAATAGGCAATACAAGACTGTAAAGCTTTGAGAGAAAGAAAACCATAAGATGAGCCTCACGATTGCCTTGAATCTCTCTTTCGGGACAACTTCCTGCCTGTCATTAGTGCAGCAAGCTGGCATAGGAGCAGAACATGGTGGTCCAATTGGGCTAAGTAGGGCAACTGAAACTAGACTCTAGAGCAAAATACCAAGAGGTAGTAGGGAAGATGTATATGGGACCCCTGAAAGTGCTTGGCTGAGGACTGAGATACATGTGTACAAGATGAGACTACCTAAGACTTCTTAGATAGCGACTGCTATGGGGTTAAAAGCAGAATATAGATATTAGAGCTTAAGCAATATTGGGAGACATTGGAGTTTCAGTTCAGTCAGACCAGAGAGACCTTATTACAATAACCTAGGCATTTAGTTGAAACAAAAGGCTAAACCTAGAATAAGGTCTATTCTAGGTCAGCCTTAATGAAACCTAAAACCCTGATGGTATCTGTAAGGGAGATAGAGTTTGGAGATTATTCCTATAAGTTTAGAGGGCCTTTTACTATTATTCCATTCTCCATAATATATTAGAAAAAAGAAAAAAACTAGCAATAATTAATAAGCTGAAATGTAAAAGTGAAAGTTCTAGGATTATTTAATTCTAGAACCTAAACTTTTCAATATTTTATGGAATAAATTAGTTTTAATTGATACTTCTATAGAAATTATACTTTTGATTCCTTATATATGACAATAAAAGGCTTGGTACAATAGGAATTAACAGTAATTTCAGTTGTAATATTTGAAAATTTCACTCAGACATTGTCTTCTCCAGAAAGCTTTTCTTAAATACTCTGCTTTGGGTAAATCTGGCTACATAGTATTATGAGAGCACGGATTGTCAAACTAAATAGTGAAGTCAGCTACATAATTGTCTTTTATCATATTATCTGACTTTCTTTATCACTAATTTTCAACATCTTTGAAGGCAGGAATCATTTATTAATTTTTGTACCATGCGTCTGATGTATTTTAGATGCTCAGTTCCTTAGCAGATTTCATTATTTGTTCTAAACATGCTGTGTGTACATTTTGGGATTGTTAGGCTAAATATGAGCACAAAAATGTTGTCTGAAACTTTTATTCATTCTAGGGTTTCCCCTTCATTAGCATATTCACCTATTTTATATAGGCATATATTAGTGATTGAGTTGGCTGTACATATATTTTGAACAAAATGTATTTTTTCTTATTTTAAATTTGTTTTAAATATTAGGTCTTGGAGAAAATTCTTGTGCAAAAAAAAGTCATGAAAAGTACCTTATAGCTTTGAAGAGCTCTGGACTTACATATCCTGAGGATAAACTTGTATATGGTATACAGGAGTCATCTGCTGGTACTAGCACTCTGGCAGTTCAAGGTTTGTCTAAATGTTTAATTTGGACAGTAGTAACTTGCTGTATTAAAACAGAAACTCCTCAAACCTTACTCATCATTGAAGAAATTTAAATAATGTGTCATTCTTTGTAAGGAAAGTAATAAAAGATACAAAAATTTAGAAGCAAGAATGAATAGGTTGGCCAAAGAAGAGATTAGGCACTTTTCTTAAATGGAATTTGGTTAGTTAATTAAGGTTTTGGTTCTAACTAGTGAAAAATGTAGCAGTTGTTATATTTAAGAATTGCCCAGAACTTTGGTAAACCATAATTTAAAACTAATAAGGGAGAACTTCTGAAACACCACTTGTGATGATTAAATTTGGGTTTTCACTGGAGATTTCTGATCAAAGTATAAAATATTAGGTCCAAATTTATTAAAGATAAATGTTGGACTCTGCTAAGATAACTGTTAGAATGAAGTGTCTTACTATAACAAAACTTAGTTTTTGATATTATTATATTGCAAAGTAATTTTAAATTAAAGCGTTATATAACTATGAAGGGCAACTTTTTTTTCCTTTCCAAAGGTTTTGCAGGTGCAACAGGGACATTGGGACAATTGGATTCTTCAGATGAGGTAAGATTTAAAATTTAAAACTTTTAAAAAATAGAATTAAAAAATTTTAAAACTGTACAGATTTGTGGATATTATCTAGTTTAAATTTGTTTGGTAGACAAAAACACTAAAAACACTAACACTGAAAACACTAAAGCTCAGAATGGACTAACTTAGTCAAGATCACACAATTAGTGACAGAACAAGGACTACAACTAGATTTTTACTTGTTTAAAATTCATTTCTCGGCTATCAGTTTGAAATTTCAATGTTTATAGTATTAATAAATATTTCTAATAAGTCTTTTTAACATTACTGTATTTTCCTAGTATGCAATTTATAAGGGAAAATTGCTTTTTACATATATTTATTTATAACCTTAATGCTTATAAATTTAAATTTCATATTTTTATTGCATTATACATATAATGATTGATTTAATGAGTTTTGAAACAAAATTGTGTTACATATAAACGCATACATCTTTTTTCTTTAAAAATCTATTTTGATTTGATAATATTAAATTAACTGAGCCAAATATCTTCCTTTTGAAAGCATGATTTCTGTTACTGAAGTCTTATAATTGATTTATTGCCTTATAATTTAAACTTTATGGTAGTATTCTCCCCCACAAGAAAAAAAAAAAGGCTCCCATAAAATCCAACATTCTGTGGAGTCTCATTTTGGACAGTTTTAAAGAGTTTTCAACAAATTGGAGAGGCAGTTTAGTATGCTGCTTAAGAGTTTGACTCTGGAATTATAATACCTGGGTTTGAATCTGACTCCTGTACCAATAGTAGTGTGACTGTGGGCAAGTGTCTTAACTTCTCCATGTCTAAATTTCTTCATCTGTAAAATGGAGGTAATAATAGTACTTATTTCCTGGCGTTATTGTGAGGATTGAATGAGTTAATAACTGTAAGCACTTAGAGCAGTAGTATCTGGCATATTGTGAATACTATATGTGTTTGTTAAATAAATAAGATAAAATCTTATTTTTAAAAATTGGTGTAAATGGTTAGCTAAAATTTTTGCTTTGTTTTAAATTTTAAAGAGTTACTTTTAAGAATAGTAATATTGCTATAATCACAAATGGAGAAAACTGGCAGATATTTGAAATAGACTTTCAGAAATATATAAACATTTAAATTAAAATGGTAATAATTCCATTTTGAAGTGAGAGGAGGATATCGATGAGGGTAAGAGTGCTAATTCTTTATCTGTCAAAGAAGGAAGTGATTAGACAATAAACGTGATTTTAAACTGCTTATTCTACTTTCATTAAGGGCATGTGGTGGGGTGGGGTGGCTTCTCATAAGGCAAGATCTGGTAATACTCAGGAGTTGAATGTGAATGGATGCAAGTGCACTTCCTTAATTAAAGTCAAAAAGATAGGGAAGGAGCCTGGTAACTATCACCAGTAGAAACTTTAGAAAACTATTACATAATGAATTTAGTGATATTATAGAACCCTTTATTAAAATATTTTGATGTGATCTAGAAAATTCTGGAGTTTTATGTTAGTATTTATATGGTTGATTAAAACTTTCATATTATTTTCATATACTGAGCATTATACATCCCAACAGCCTTGCTAACAATTGTACTTTATTTTCATGAATTAGATTTGATTTCTGGGCATGTGGAAAGCTGATATTCAACATAGATACTTTCTCCTATGTCTAGGAAAGAAGTAACATTCATTTTTGTCTTGGCCTAAACTCTCCAGATTAGCTATTAAAGTGCTGGTGGAGTCTTTAGTTGTATATTATTGCACTGCAACAACATTGTTTTGTAGGAAGGTCCTAGTAGGAGATCCTTTTGTGAGCATGAGTTGAGGGGCTTTTGAGTCTTTTCTAGAAGCAATTTCTAGAGGCATATAGAGGATTAGAAATACAGTCTTTCTTTGTTCATTACCATTCTGATTTGTGTTTTTTAGGTCTTCTCTTCCTTCCTCTTAGATTCATAGTTTCAGCAATTTCTGTGTGTAATGTGATTTATATAATTATTTGTTCCTTAATTATAATTGTCTCAGTGTAAATATAGTAAATACTTTTTGATGGTGATAACTTCAAAATACTTCATTTGAGCATCTGTATTCATAATGCACTATTTTTTTGATAATAGCTGAGAGTTACTTTAAGAGCATGTGATGAATATTTAATGTATATATTTAAAGGTAGTTTAGATTCTTTGATTTTTAAATCATTTTATAATAAGACTTTTAGTCTATTTAAAAGTATTTTTTATAGTTTATATATTTATTGTATATTCTAATTGGTATAAAAATGGGATCATTTGGGCATTTGAAAGCTAAAGTTGAAGTTGAGTTTAGTTGGAAATAGATTGAGGGATATCTACTCTAGTTTTTTTTCCCTTGTTTCTCCCCCCAGCTTTATTGAAGTATAATAGACAAGTAGTTGCTCATATTTACATTGTACAATTCAATGAATTTTTTTCAATTATAGTTGGTATACAATAATATATTAGTTTCAGTTGTACAGCATAGTGATTAGAGATCTGTGTAACTCATAAAGTGGTCATCCCACTAAATCCATCTTCCCCCTTACATATTTTTTACGACATTGTAGACTATTTTCCTTATGCTACAATTTTATCTCCATGACTATTTTGTATCTATCTATTTGTACTTCTTAATCCCTTTGCCCTTTTTTACCAGCCCCGCCCAGACTTCTCTCCCATCTAATAGCCCTCAAAATATTCTCTGTATCTATGAGTGTGTTTCCATTGTTGTTGTCGTTTATTTTGTTCTTTAGATTCCACATGTACATGAAATCATGCAGTATTTGTCTCTATCTGACTTACTGCATTCAGTGCAATATCCTCTAGGTC